ACTTATTTGGTTCAGTTATTCCTAGATATTCTTTTCTGTGTATCAATATTAAAAAAAAATTCTTGGTGGGACCAGCAGTTGGCATAATGGCTATGTCACTGGACTCCCATGTAGTCGACCGTGGTTTGAGTCCCAGACCCAGTGGCTTAAACTCACACGGCACGTGTGTGTGTGCGTGCCCACGATCCCGAGAGGAGAATGAAGGAGAAGGGATTGCAGTGTGGCCATGCCCCCTGGGGGAGGGAATTTCTTGCTTTCTGTTTCTCTGTCTCTGTCTTTCTGGTGAGCACACGTGCCCTATAGCAAAAACCTCTAAAACAAAACAAACAAACAAACAAAAACAACTCGCGATTAAGACCAGCAGATGGCGTAATGGTTATGTCACTGGACTCCCACATTGGCCAACCACAGTTTGAGTCCCAGACCCAGTGACTTCAAACTCATGCCAGGTGCGTGTGCACACATGCCCAAACTTCTGAGAAGAGAGTGGAGGAGAAGGGATTGTGGTGTGGCAGTCCCCTCTGGGGAGTGATTTCTTGCTTTCTGTCTCTCTTTTTCTTCAGCAAACACAAACCCTCTATAATAAAAATCTCTCTCAAAAAATTTAAAAGAAAGAAAGAAAAAAAAACCCTCATGTTTATCTCAATACCTCCAACTTTAATCCAACACAATAGGGTTCATTCTAGTTTTCTCCCCTTTCCATTTTTGTAACTTCCTTTTTCTTGCTCGTGTTGTCCTAAATATGTTTATTTATTTGATCAATCTCCCAGTCATTCCATTAGTTCTCCATGGAACTAATCTTCCATCACTGCTGCTGTCCTTTCTCTCACTTTGAGGTCCTTATTACTAAAATTCCAACACCTGGCCCTAATCTTCTCTTCTCACATGGTTGCCCTCCTCATTCTGCTCAGGCTATGACATCCCGCAAGATTGCCTCTCAAGTGGATGCCCTTCACATGTGCCCTAGGTTCTGCCACTTCAGACCAAAGCATTTTCTCACATAGGTACCCTCCTCAAACCTTTCAGGCTTTGACTTCCCATGCTGAGCAGACCTCCTACCTGGAAATCCTCCTCACTTTCACTGGGCTCTAATTCCTCATGTTGGACTGCCTCTCCACATAAATATTCCCTTAATCTTGTTTAGGTTCTGTCTTCACAGGCCATACTGTCTCTTCTGTTGGATGCCCTCTTTACCTTGTTCAGGTCAAATACTCCATGTTGTGATCCACCCCACATGGATGCCCTCTTCATCTCACTGAGTTCTGACACCCAAGCTAAACCACCTCTGTGTAGGGCCATCCTCTTCACCACATGGACTTAAGGTTGCCCTTCTACCCGGAGGATACCTCCTTACTGTACTCTCAAGTTTTGACAACCCATGACAAACCACCTATGCACAGATGCCCTCCTTAACCCATTTGGACCCTTATACCCTGCTATGTGCCATGTTGACTTTCCCTGGCCAAGAGCAGTTTGCTCTGGCCCACCTCATGATCTTAGGAGCAAATTAAAAAGGGAAAGGAATAAAAAGAGAAAAAAGAGAAGAAGAAATAGAAGAGGAAGAACCCACAAGGTACTTTAAAAAAAATTATTTTAGGGACCAGCAGTTTGCGTAATGGCTATGTCGCTGGACTCCCATGTAGCCGACTATGGTTTGAGTCCCAGACCCGGTGGCTTAAACTCACACCGTGTGTGTGCGTGCGTGCCCAAGATCCCGAAAGGAGAAAGGAGGAGAAGGGATTGTGGCATGGCCATACCCCCTGGGGGGTGATTTCTCATTTTCTGTCTCTCTCTGTCCTCTCTGTCTTTCTGGCGAGCGCACGCACCCTATAGCAAAACAAAACAAAAAAGTATTTTATTTAACTTTATTTATTTATTTTAATTTGACCAGAGAGGGACAGAGTGTGAGAGAGAGAGAGAAAGCAAGTCACCAGGTCTGAGACTCAAACAGTGGTTGGCCATGCAGGAGTCTAGCACCCTTAATCACCATGCCACCTGCTGACCCCAGTACTTTTAATTATTCATTGGGATCTTTTTGGTTCAAGTCACAGAAACTCCAACTTGAAGTTCTTAAGCAAAAATTAAATTATTGGTTCATGAAATGGAAATATCCAGGACTAGTTCAGGACACAACTAGATTTGAAAACTCAAATAATGCCATTAGGACAAGTGCCTGGTTCTTTTTCTCTTGCTTTCAGTCTGGCCCTACTCTCTTCTGTCTTAACTCCTTTGTAATACAACCTCTCCCCTTGTGATAATCTCCTCACATCACAAGTCTCACATCCTCACAGGTTCATTCAAGTCCAATGGGAATGAAAAGGAAAATATCCTCCTCCTAATCACTCAAACAAAAAGTCACGTTAGTCTGTACTAAACCAACCACTCTGACTAGAGGAATAGAATGCCTTGACTGACTTAATCTTGAGATGCATCCTCCACCTCTAGAACTGTGAGTGGACTTCCACTCAAACACATGAACTGAAATGGGAGTGGGCTGGTTTCCTCAGAGCAAATTGGAGATACAAACACCAGGAGAAAATGAATGGAAGCTAAAGAACAACAAAAAAAAATCAATAAACGTTCAACTATAAGAATGAGAAGAGTGCACATAATAAGATGACTAAACTTATCAGGCAGTATTTGTTCATTGTCAAATAAATGGTACAGAATGGATGTTATTGTCCTTCATGGGAAGGAGAAACCACAGTGGAAGTCTTCTTGAGCAAGGAGAGACTTTGATTCATACTTTAAAAGGGAAAGATATGTACTCTTTAAAGAGGAAGGGTCCATAATATGACTTATTAATTTATAAGGAATGTCAAAGAAACTAGCACATATATACTAGGAGATATACAAAAATGCTCACAGTACTGTTCATAAGAGCAAAATGTTGAAAACAACCTATACACCCATTAACAGAAGGATAAACAAATCGATGATGATATGATCACATGATGGCATACAATGATGAAAATGAGTGCGTCACAGCTGCAGGAATAACAAGGATAGATACATTAACGTTGGATTAAATAGCAAGTTCCAGAAAATTATAGTTTGATAAACTTTTTCTAAAGTTTACAAATTGGCAAAACTGAACAACTGAAAACATGTTTATAAGTGTGTGTGTGTGTGTGTGTGTGTGTGTGTGTGTTTGTGTGTAATGCTATATTGTTATATAACTGTAACACTATCAGCAAAAGGAAAAAGAAGGGAAATATAACGCTAAATTTCAGGATATTGCCAGAGTTGGGATATGCAAGAAGGCAGTTGATGGAAGAGGGCAGGACGTAAAGGGAGATGTAAGATACTGGTAATGTTTAGTTTGGTAGTGGATTCACGCTTGTACAATTACTAAAATAAATGAGATTTGAATGCCAAAGTATTCAAGGCATGGTTAGGGAGCATAAAAGAATGAGTATACCAGAGCAAATAATTCCTTTATGATATTAGAGGCAGAATGGAAATAGATGGGACCCAAATGTGGTAGGATGAATTATGTAACATGAATTATGCTTGAATTTAGTTTTATATGAATTATAAATTAAATCAATAAATTATATTAATAATAAATCAATTATAAAATGATGTTTAAAAACTAGCTGGGGGTTATAAAAGTAGGAATGGGGAGGCGTGGCCATGAGACTTACTGCCAAGGCCCAGCTGTAGTAGTGTGCATTGGTTGACTGAAGCCACATGGGAAGCCCAAATTCAATCTTTGGCCTGCCCTAAAAAAGTGGATGCAGTGTCATGCACTCAAAGACCCGACCCAGCTACTTGGAAAGATGAAGGAGGAAGATCATGATATAGTGAGACCCTTCCTAAAAATAGTGATATAGTGACAAGTAGCAGGGTAAGATTAAGTGGCTTATTGGATATGGAAGGCAAAAGGTAGAAAGGAATTGAAGTATTAGGTCTTCTGGAAACTCATGATGTATTTTTCTGTTTGTCTATGCAAAACTGCATCATGACTTTACCAACAACAACCCAATAGATCCTAGAGTCTTACCAGGTTAAGTAGTACCATTAAAATAAATCAGGGCCAGGACTAGCAGTTGGTATAATGGCTATGTTGCTGGACTCCCATGTAGTCGACTGCAGTTCAAGTCCTGGACCCGGTGGCTTAAACTCATGCTGGGCATGTGTACATGCATGCCCAAGATCCCGAGAGAGAAGGGAGGAGAAGGGATTGTAACATGGCCATCCCTTCTGTGGGGTGATTTCTCACTTTCTGTCTCTCTGTCTCTCTCTTTCTGGCACGCAAAAACGTCTCAAAAATAAATAAATAAATAAATAAATAAATAAATAAATAAATAAATAAAACAGGCTGGCAGATGGCATGGTGGTTGGGGACGCTGAACTCTCACATGGCTGACCACGATTTGAGTCCCAGACCTGGTGGCTTACTTTCTCACTTTCTCTCTTGCTCTGTCCCTCTCTGGTCAAATTAAAATAAATAAATTAGTTTAATTTAATTTAATAAGTCTTTTAAAATGAACAAATAAATCAAAACAAGGACAGCAACTGACATGGTGGTTAGGTACTGATACCTACATAACCAATTGCAGTTATAGTCCTGGACCCAGTGACTCTAAAATCATGCCAGGTGAATTTGCATACACATCCAAGATCCCACGAGGAGAATGGAAGAGAAGCAATTGTGGTGTGGCCATTCCCTCTAGGGAATCATTTCTCACTATCCCTCTCTGCCTCACTCTGTCTCTCTCTGGAGAGTGCATGCATCTTATGGCAAAAATGAAAGATTAAGAAATAAAATAAAAATTAAAAAAAAAAACAGTATAGATGTCATAGGAGTTACATTTACTTCAGCATGGGAAGTCTGTAAAATATTCCTATGGGCTCGGAGATGCCTTCAATGTATCTGGTTTTCCATGGAGAGCAGTTGTCAAGGACTTCAGTTTGCTGTAAGAAGAGAATAAAATTTTCTCCCATGGATAAATGAACTTTTGGTTTGTTCTTGCCTTTATGTTTTTATCTTTTAGCTAAACTACACATCCAATTTCCAATGCCACACCCTAATCATGAAGTGAGGTTGTCTTCAAAACAATTTCAGAAGTACATAGAATTGGTCGTGTCTGAACTTAGGGGCAATGAAGATCAAGTTCTGGAAAGTGTTGTGGAATTTCTGATGGATGCTTTAGAGAGAAGCCATATTGAAAGTCTGCGGAATTGTGCCAGACGGAAGTGGCTGCACCATATCCAGCAAGCTGCAGAGACAAGTGGGGTGTCCCTGGAGCCAGTGTACACTGAGACCTTTAAAGCCCTCACCCAGGTATGTTTCCTAAAGTGATGTTCAATGGTTATCAGAGGGGCATGGTGAATTCTCTTGAAAAATCAGTAGATGGTGCTATAGATGTTTTATTCAATACAATACATTACAAATGACCCAAAACCTAGGAAAGATGCAACTGGAATAATTACTGGTTGATGAGATAGAAGCAGGGAAGAAAAATAGAAAAGACCAATGTAGGAAAAAAATGTCTTGGGTTCTCATTTCATTTGTGCTGAGAGTCAAATAAGTCCAGAAGAGACAATGATAAATACCAGCAAGGGGATGTGCAAACCATTCAAGCTACATTTCCCTTGTATAATGTTCTGGAAGTCAGTTTAAAAGAAAATATTTAAATCATAAATTATTTCTAAAGTAGAATCCAACATTACACCACATTTTATGGAACTGTCTAGAACCAAACTAAGATTATTATAGAATCTTGTCACTTAGGGGACCAGCAGTTAGTGTAATGGCTATGTCGCTAGACTCCCACGTAGTTGACTGCAGTTCGAGTCCCGGACCCGGTGGCTTAAACTAACACCAGGCGTGTGTGCGCATGTGCCCAAGATCCCAAGAGGAGAATGAAGGAGAAGGGATTGCGGCGTGGCCAGCCCCCCGGGGGCTGATTTCTTGCTTTCTATCTCTCTGTCTCTCTCTGTCTTTCTGGCGAGCGAATTCGCTCTATAGCAAAAACCTCTTCAAAAAGAAAAAAAGAAGAATCTTGTCACTTAGAATACATGGTCCTGGGGCCAGCAGTTGGCATGGTAGTCAAGGTGCTGGACTCTCACATGGCTGACCGTGGTTCAAGTCCCAGACTTGGCAGCTTTGCTTTCTCACTTTATTTCTCTCTCTGAGAGACCACGTGCTCTCTCTGATGAGTCCACATGCTGTATAGCAAATTAAATAATAATAATAATAATGACAACAAATAAAATAAGTATTTTTAGAAAAAGAATACATGGTCCTGAGGGATCAATGCCCAAAGTCTTGCAACCTCCTCAGAGCCTTCCAGATTTCTGCTTCTCCTGGACTGAAACAGTACCATTACCTTTTACATACATTACAGTTCTCATTAACCCAGAGAACCTGTGCTGTTCATCTCAGCTAGCAACACTTGCTCATTAGAATCATCAACTGAATGGCTGAATTTTCCAAAACAGTTGAAAATGGTGCTGAGAGACCTCTCAGTGAAAAGCTCTACTCCAACTTATTGGAGAGATCTGTGATACTCTAAGAGAAATATTCTACATATTTGTTAATTACTCCATAGATCATGCATGTGGACAGGAGGATGAAAGGCAAAAGAAAAAAGAATGAAAAACAAAATTCAAATATACAGAAAGAAGATATAAATAATAAGAAAAGTGTCTTTCATTTCCCTATTTATTTGTGTTTAATATATGTGCTAATGCATAATATTATCAGTAACATAATAATATTGGGGCATCAGAAAAGTCATGAAGGATTTTCTTATGTTTTCCTATGCAAAAATGTGTCAAGACTTTTCTGACAACCTGATGTTTTAGGTACAGGGTGTTTTCAGCTATTAATTAGAAATTACAATTTCAGGGCATCTGCGGTCTTGGGCCCCAAGAAATACTTTCCTTAAATGACATAGGTCAAATACCCAAACTGTGATAAGAATTCCTTGATAGCAATTTTTTTCACATTAACATCATGGTCAAGAATGAAATGAAGGGGGCCGGCAAGTTGCATGGTGGTTAAAGGTGCTGGACTCCCACACGGCCAACCACAGTTCAAGTCTCAGACCTGGTGGTTTGCTTTCTCACTTCCTCTCTGTCTCTCTCTGTCTCTCTCTGATAAAACTGGAAAATAATAATGATAATAATAATTAATAAAGTTAAATAAAATAATTCTTTTATTTAAAAATGAAATGAAGATAACATTCTTGCTCTAGCTCGCTAAAAAAAAATTTTTTTGAGAGAGATTTTTGCTATAGAGTACGTGTGCTCGCCAGAGAGACAGAAAGTGAGAAATCACCCTCCAGAGAGATGGCCATGCCATAATCCATTCTCCTCTATTCTCCTCTTGGTATTTTGGGTACACATGCACATGAGGCCAGCATAAATTTAAGCCGTTGGGTCCAGGACTCAAATAGCGGTCAACTACATGGGAGTCCAGGGACATAATCATTATGCCATCTGCTGGTCCTACTCTCTAAAGTACTTTTAACTGTAGGCCAGACAATATGATTACAGTTCATGGAGATCCAAGTTTTAAACCTCTAAACTTGGGAACCAGCAGTTAGCGTAATGGCTATGTCACTGGACTCCCACATAGTCGACCGCGGTTCATGTCCTGGACCTGGTGGCTTAGAACTCACACCGGGCACATCACTTTTGTGTTGCTTCTGAACCTTACATACCCATTAGCTGCATATGCTGCAGAACGTGATGGAAAACATTGATGAGAATTTACCAGCAGTTCAGAGACTCTGTTTTCCTGGTTTAGGCTCTTTACTAACTGATCAAGGTTTTGTCCACAAAGGGCATCTCAACCAGGGGAATTATTTGACGTAACGCTGGGCACAGGTGACTTACCCTTCTCTGCTTTGTCACTCACCAGCAGTAAGGCTTATTCTCCATACCTTGTGCACCTCCCGTAGACTCGGTTTCCTCTCTTCCTTCCCATCTCTGTAAGTGTTTCCCATCCAAACTGTCGAGCCAGGTTTTTCAGCTGTTACCGACCTCAGTCATACTGTCTCTGTGTGGTCCAGCCAGAACAGTCCATTCAGATCCCTTTACTTTGCCATTTGCAAATGTCTGGAATTGTCAAGTCTCAGCTTCCACAAGTCCTGCTTTCCCTGACAGGACGGATATGGCGCTCCAGTGGGAATTATGACCTACACAGTATACAGTGTGTATGTAGGTATGAAGGGAACTTTTTAAATGACTCGAAGCTGTGAACAGCATTAGAACTTTGTCTACGTCATTTTAAAATATGCTGATATGCCTTAAACTGTAGTTGTAGACCCTTGTCATTTTGCTGTTTGGAAATAACTGATGTGTTTTCTAAAACCGTTGTGTAATCTGCTCTCAGTGTTAATGCAGAATTGTCATATGTGTAAGCTGCATGTTAGACACTTGTCTTTTTTTTAAAAAAAATAATAATTGTATCGTTGTGAAGCATATCATTTTTTTCAAGTATGATAGTAATCACTTAGCGACGTGCTTGGTAATTTGATGTCTGTTAAGGTAGGAGAGTGGTGGACAGGTGACCTATGCATATTATCACTAGTGCCAAGACATAAAGCAGGGCAAATATATTTTTACCCAAACATTCTTTTGTGTGCCCTTTTGTGAGTTTTTTTTTAGTCACTGCTTGATATGCTTATGTACACATGTGTATTATATTGGATAAAAGAACTAGGGATGGAAGAGTCTCATGCTTTTTTGTGTGTGGTAGACTTCATATCCCGCCGTTGGGCAGCACCAACGTCTCCAAGATGCTCGTCATGTGGTGTCCTGAACTGCACACACCGTCTGTGCCATCCTTCACCCCATTCCCACCCCACGTCCCCGTTGGTGCCCCGCTGAGGTGCCCCATTCTTCCCTGGCCTCCACTGCCAACACTGCTGTTGCCTACCTAAATTTGAATAGACTTGAGGAGTTTTGTTTTTGTTTTTCAGTAAATCAGACTATTTGGCATAAAGGAAATCTATTCTGCTCACTAAAATTTAGGTTTGGTAGATAGCTCTGGTGTCAACTTTCCCCTTCTGTCCATTAATAGTAACATCCACATTATTTATTTGGGAAAATGAAATTATTGGGGCCAAATGCACAAATTGGCTAGTGAAGAGAGACATGATTAGGGGAGTTCTTTGGTTATTCGTAAATATATGGTCATAAGCATTTTGCCATAGGATGCTGAAGCCCATGGAAATAAGAAGATTAGTGCCCACATTTCCCTCTTAGAAGAAAACCTACTACTGCCTGATCGAGGGAAAATTCTGTTGAGGAATGTGGCTTGTACCTTAGACGATGCTCCATTTGTACTGAACAAAGTACTCTACAGGGACATGAAGGGCATCAGGTAAGAACTTCAAGAGGCTGGTTTCACTCTATAAAAAAAATTCCTTTCTGAAGTAAACTAGTATCAAAATCCTAGTTAAGTGTTTGGGAGAAAAATGCATCAGTCACCAATGCTTTTGAAGTGGGAGCTGATGGGCTTCCTTCCAGTTCAAGATGATTCCACGTGATCATTTTAGAGCTGCCCTTGAGCAATGATTTGCCATACAGGGACTCTGCTCAGTTATTTCTGTCTGCTCTATAATTTATGTCTCCTGCATCTTGTTTACATATGCTTTCTCTGTTAAGATCTAAGTTTGTGGGATCAGCAGTTAGCATAATGGCTGTGTCGCTGGACTCCCATGTAGTCGACTGAGGTTCAAGTCCAGGACACAGTAGTCCAGGTGTGTGTGCATGTGTGCCCAAGATCCCAAGAGGAGAATGGAGGAAAAGGGATTGCGGCGTGGCCATCCCCCCCTGGGGGGTGATTTCTTGCTTTCTGTCTCTCCGGCTCTCTCTGTCATCTCTGGCAAGTGCACATGCCCTATAGCAAAAGCGCGCATGTCCCATAGGAAAAACCCTCTCAAAAAAAAAAAAAAAAAAAAAAAGATCTAAGTTTGTTTTAAGTCTTTCTGTCGGGACCAGCGAATAATATGATGGTTAAGGCACTAGACTCCCACATGACCTACTGTGATTCAAGTCCTAGATCTGGCAGCTTGCTTTTTTTTGGAATTTTCTCTCTGGTGAGCATGTGTGCCCTATAGCAAATACAATAATAATAATAAATACAATTAAATAAATAATTATTTGAAAAAGAGAAAAACCTTTCTCTCAAGTCAAGTCCTCCATATCAGCAATGATATGTGAATCCACTTCTCTGATATATAATGTCAATGATTGTGATTGGAGAATTGATCTAGTTTCCTCCATGGTTTAATCTAAACCCTCACCTTGTTCTTCTCCCATCCTCATATTCCTTCTCCTCAGCTTTACAGTCGTGGATGAAGGGAAACCAATCCACGTCCCCCAAGTTCAGTACCATGGGAACATCTTCTTCTGGAATGAGGCTCGCGAGAAGGAAGATCGTAATGGATCATTCCTGGCTCTTCCTCTTCAGGATGCATATATGAGGATCTTTGGGGTCATGGCTGTTGACACTCTTAGAGATCCTCATGAAATAAACATCTTCCTACCTCATGAGATCAGATTCTATCAGGAAAGTCATTAAAGTCTTCAAGAGCAATGGTAGGATAGCCTTTCCTACACTTTTTAAACAGTGGAACCTGAATCCAGATAAGAGTAAAGCTGTGTACATAGACAATGTCATCACACTTGTGGTTCCCCGTAAGTGTATCAGTCATTGGAGAGGTTCCCCACCACTTAGGGAAGACCTCTCCACCTCAGTTGCACATCCATATCTCAGCCTTTCTGAGAATGTAGTTAATGTGTATCTCATAGCATTAATCATAGGGATAAAACGGTATGCTGCAGAATAGAAATCCGTGGTTAGACCACTAAGACCCACAAAGTAGGGTCGACCTTTTAGAAAGGATATAGTATATTTGTATATTATCAGTAGTGATACCTAGAAATCCTTTGTTCTTTCTACAAATGGTGCTAAGTAATATACATCCCAATAGCTCTTGATTTTGATGCTATAATTTTTGAGGATAAAGAATGAAGGAAAAAAACTGTCTTTTGAGTGTTCCATGTTTTCAAATTAAATCACCAAAAAATAGGCACTTTTCAGACTATGAAATAGCTAGGCCATTTCTACAAGTATTTCTATTTGATTTTATAGGATAGAAACTGTGGGCCAGCAGTGGCGTAGTCGTTGGGGTGCTAGACTCTCACACCGCCAACCATGGCTCAAGTCCCAGACCCAGTGGCTCAAAAATCATGCCACGAACCTGTGTATGTGTGCCCAAAATCTGGAGAGGAGAATGGAGAAGTGATTGTGGCATGGCCATCCCCTCTGGGGCATGACTTATCACTTTCCCCTCTCACTGTCTTTTTGTCTCTCTCTCCGGTGAGTGCATGCTGCCTATGACAATAACCTAAATTTAAAAAAGAAATTGCAGTGAAGGAAGATAGAAAGTATCTATGAATCTCTTTACACCTTTGATTCCTTGCTGATTCTTTTTTATAGCAGAATCTGGAATACTGCCTTTAGAGAAGTGATGATTAATTTGTAGGAAATAGATGATCATCTATTAGAAAGACAGCACAGGCCCAGCCACAGTGGCATATAGATAACACCACTAAACAGGAGGCTGGAAGACATACATGGGAGCCCAGTTAAGTTCCCAGGCCCACCTGAACACACTCAAGTGCCTGTCATTCGAGCTATTTGAGAGACTGGACAGGAAGATTATGATATGGTGAAACCTTGTCAAAAAATGTCATCTCTTCTCTCTCCTTTTCTCTCTCTCACTCTTCAAGAAGAAAACAAAGAAAATCCTGTTAATGCATTGCCACTTATTTCACTATTTTAAAAAAGAAAAGGCAATGTGAATGTTCTGCTTCTGCAGGGCGTTGCCAGTGTCTTTAGCACTGCCTATCACCACGTCCACAGCCGGGAGCACATCCTGCATATCGTGATCACTGGTATCAGCTGGCTCTATGACATCGCACCCAGCATCACCTCCATCACTACATATTTCATTGAGCCGAACCCAGACCAGGTAGGCCAGGCGTGGTAATGTCTGACCTCTCCAATAGAGGATCCAGACGTTATTTTCTTACAATATTTGTAAGCCATATTAACTAGTTATTAGGGTAACTGGGGGACATAGTTCCCATGATACCAACCCAAAACCTTTTGTTGTAAGTGACAGGAATCCATCTCAAGCTGCCTTGGGCAAAAAGGAAAACTGACTGTCTCATATGACTAGAATGGAGAAAGCGTAGGAGTCAAGTTGGCTTCCAGGAGGACCAGATCCAGAGATTCAATACCATCAAGGCTCTCTCATGTCTGTTATCTGTCCACTTCTCATGTTTGCGTCCCTCTGCATGTTACCTTTGTCCTTCCAGCCTAGATGGACTTTGTCCACAGGGCAAGTCAGGTGCTTAGTAAAAGTATCTGGTAAAAAGTTCCAATTTGGGAAACCCAAGAAAGAATTATTTTTAATTTTTTTAGGTTACATTTGTTTGCTTTTTCCCAGTCAATACATTTTTTAAAAGAATTATTCAATTTTATTTATTATTATTATTATTTATTTGACCAGAGAGAGTGAGAGAGAGAAAGTGAGAAAGCAGGTTGCCACGTCCAGGACTCAAACCGTGGTCAGCCATGTGGGAGTCCAGCACCTTAGCTACCATGCCATCTGCTGGCCCCAATACGTTTTTTTAAATTACCAGAGAGCACGTGCACTCACCAGAGAGGGAGAAGGAAATAGCACTCTCTTTCCCCAGTGGAGTGTGATCACACCACAATCCCTTCTCCTTCATTTCTCTGTCCTGTCAGAATTTTGGATATGCATACATTTGCATCCAACACGTTTTTCAAGCCACTGGGGCTGCGATTCAAATTGCAGTCAGCCCTGTGGAATCTGACTCACCTAACCAACTATGGAGCCAGCCCAGGAAAATTTTCTTTTTTGCCTCATCCTATGCTAGGTCCCCCTAGCTAGTCTGTGAGTCTACAGGAACTGGAAATTGCCACCAGCATCATATGGATGAAGAGAGAAGAGACAAGAAGCTGCTATTTCAGAAGGATGTAATTCATAACACCAATTTATTAAAAAACAGTCCCCTATCTATAATGTGATAAATTCTTGCTGCATGTTTACTTTGCTTCTTTACACTTAACTTCAATGTTAGAATTTTCCATATGATAAAAATGAAGAGAAAGGTGTTTTCCTTTCAAAAAGGCTAAAGGACTCAGAGATGGTAGCATCACCTTCATAATCTCCCAGGCCTTTGACTTGTCCCCTTCTGGCTTCTTCTTTTACTTAAAAAAAAAAATTTTAATTTTATTTTTATTATAATTATTATTTTTAATCTGTTATAGGGCGTATGCACTTGCCAGAGAGAGAGTTTGAGAGAGAAAATGAGAAAGCAAGCCACTAGGTCCAGGATTCAAACTGCAGCCAGCCAGAAGCTTACTACCTTAATCACCATACCACCTGCTGGTCCCTTGGCTTTTGCTTTTTCTTTTCTTTTCTTTTCTTTTTTTTTTTTTTCCACAAGGTCCTTGCTTTCTTCCCTCAGTGGCTGGATCAGGCTAATGAGACCTTGACCAGAGAGGGCAGAATCATGGAGTAGATGGGCTGTGAGATAGAGAATACTTTGTCACTGGCACTGCTCCTAAAGGTAGGCATGAGCGTCTTCCAGGGCTCTAGGGACTGGGGCTGACCATTACACCTGGCAGCCACGACTGCATTGGAGTCAGAGTGTGCTGGGTCTAGGGAGGATCTGGAAGTACTTTGCCAGGGCCTTAGGGTAGCAACACCTAGGGCGCATGGAGAAAGCCAATATAGCCTTTGTGGTATATTGATGGCATGCCAGATTGTAGAGCTGCGGTTCACCTGCTGAAAAATTCCCTGACCTAGTCAGCGTGAAAGCGCACTGACTGGGCTCACATGTGTCTGGTATCCTGGAGGGCTAGGTGCTGGGGAAGGGGGATCACGATGTGACCAGTCCTATGGACACCGTTTCTCTCTCTTTTGTCTCTCTCTCTCTCATACATGCACATGCACTATCGTGAGTGAATTTTTTAAAAAGAAAAAGGTCATCATAGCCCAAGGTAAGCAAGAAGCACGGAGGGCAGAGGAGGGTGCAGCTGGGGTGTTTTCGCTCTCGGCTTCTCTGCCAGGCTGCTGTGGGTTGGCTGCCCTCTACTAAAGCCACTTCACCTTTACTCAGGTGGTCCTCTCCGTAGCTGTTGTCTCCAGGCCCTGATAATTGCTTCCTCCTTTTCCCTCTCCAGGCCAAGGTCGCTAACTACTCTCCATTATTATTGGGTCAGCGTTCTAAACACTGTCTAAGCCTTCATAAATAGTCTCTCTGTTAAACTCTCCTCAGATTACCCAGTCCTAGCATGCCATCTGTTTCCTTCTGATACCCTGACTGATATGAATTATAAAGTAGATCGTCAGATACCACCTCACCTCCTGCCCGTGTTCCTATCAGGTAGAGTCATAAAGGAAAACAACTCTTGCTCTGTTAACAGTAACCATAGGCGAGTGAAATGAGGAGATTCAAATTCTCTTAGATATGAAACTCAGATTGTTTTAGTACCCCAAACTAATTTTTTTCCCTTTTATTCATCCCAGAGTGTGTGCACATGAGAAAGAGGAGAAAGGGAGAGGAGCACCCTCCACAGGGTCTGGTCATGCCGCAATCCCTCTTTATTCAGTCCTCCAGCCCATTGGATCTTAGGCACTTATGCACGTGCCTGGTGCGTGTCAGGCTGACCAGAGAAGGGATTCAAACTGCAGTAGCCATGTAGCATCTGGCTTCTCCTCAGCATCATGTTATCACTGAACCATGGAGCTGGCCTGATGTCTAACTATATCTTTGGAGTACTAAAATTATTAAATAGTTAACTGTGGAAGGCAGAATAATGCCCTCCTTCTCCTAACGCTTTCCATGTCTTAATTCCTAGAACCCACGAATACGTTACTTTACATGCAAAATGGACTTTGCACATGGTTAAGATGAATAAATTTGAGGGGCCAGCAGGTGGCATGGTGGTTAAGGTCCTAGACTCCCACATGACTGACTGTGGTTTGAGTCCCAGACCTGTAGGCTTGAAAAGCACACCAAGCACATGTGTATGCATGCCCAAAATTCCAAGAGGAGAATGGAGAAGGGATTGTGTCATGGCCACCCTCCCAGATGTGTGTGTGTATGTGATTTCTCACTTTCCCTTTCACTGTCTCTGTCTTTGGCAAGCACACCCATCTTGTGGTAAAAACCTTACAAAGGCGGGGGAGGGAGGGGACCTGCAGAAGGTGTAATGGTTATGTCACTGGACTACCACGTAGTCAATTACTGTTCAAGTCCTGGACCAGTGACTTAAAACTCACTCCAAGCATGTGTGTGTGTGTGTGTGTGTGTGTGTGTGTGTGTGTGCCCAAAATCCCAAGAAGCGAATGGAGAAGGGATTGCAGCATGGCCATTCCCTCTGGGGAGGGAATTTCTTGCTTTCTGTCTCTCTGTCTCTCTCTGTCTCTCTGATGAGCACACGTGCCCTATAACAAAAATCTCTCATTTAAAAAAAAGGTTAAAGAATTTGAAATGAGATTATACTGGCTTATCCAGGTGGGCCCAGTCTAATCATGTGAATCCTAAAAGCAAAGAGCCTTTTCTGACTGTTAGTCTTTTCTGTCTTCTGATTAGAAGACAGAAGAGAGTCAGGAACATAGCAATACAAGAAAGATGTGCTTTTGCCTCACTTGTTCTGAGAGCTATAGGGATATGTACAAAGACCTGAGGTCTCTAGGAGCTAAGGCTATGCCACAGTTGACAACAAACAACGAAATCAAGACCTCAGGGTTTTATTTCACTGAGGTCTTGAGAGGGACAAGTGTCTAAAATGTGTGCCTTGTTTGCTGTTGTAAGTCATATCAACATAAGCTTTTGAAAAAACAAAAGTCAGAAATTAACCATGGACTCCTGGTTGCTACCTCATCACATTTCTTTTCTATTTCTTATTTGATTTGCATTCCATCACTGTATATTTTTGCAGCATACAAAATGAAACTTCCCAGATAAATATGCTGCATGTTAGCCCAGTCAAAGATATTACCACAAACATCGTACTTAACACAGGTTACCATCACATTCCTTTTCTCAGGCAGTGAACAGATAGCGATTTTCTGCTTGAATGAAAGGAAAGAAGAGCAGAAGAAACTATCAGGAAGAGTCAAATGCAATTAATGTTTCACATCCCACTCTCTATGATAGAAAGCAAAAGTTTTTCTACCTCAAGAACTTCAAAAATGCTACTTTGTCAAGAACATTCTTCCCACTTTGTCCTATCACCAGTATATGAAGCAAACTACAAAATTTTTGTCAAGAAGCATACTTTTTAAAAATAAAGTAAAAAGTCATATTGTGATATTTTTTGTCACAAAGACCACTTTGTAAAGATACAGTTTCTTCCGGAACCAGCAGTTAGCGTAATGGCTATGTTGCTGGACTCCCACGTAGTCGACCGCGGTTCGTGTCCTGGACCCGGTGGCTTAAAACTCACACCGGGCGCGTGTGCGCGCGTGCCCAAGATCCCGGGAGGAGAATGGAGGAGAAGGGATTGCGGCATGACCATCCCCCCTGGGGGGGTGATTTCTCGCTTTCTGTTTCTATGTCTCTCTGTCTGTCTGGCGAGCGCATGCGCCCTATAGTGAAAAAAAAAAACCCTCTCAAAAAAAAAAAAAAAAAAAAAAGATAGTTTCTTCCAAAAAGTTTTTATAAATTTAACAAAATTCCAAGAAAATCCCAATATGATTGTTTTAAAGCTTAAATCAATTTTGGACCTGCAGGTGGCATGGAAGTTAAGGTGGCTGGATCCCACATGGTCAGCTGCCAGGTTCAAACCCTGGACCCGACAGCTTTAAATCATACCAGATGTCTGTGCGTGCATACCCAGAATCATGAGAAAGAGTTGCGGCATGGCCATCCCCCCCGTGGAGTGATTTTTCACTCTTTACCCTCTTTGTCTCTCTCTAATGAGCACACAGACTCTATAACAACAACAAAAAAAAAAAAACGGAGAGAGAGAGAGAAATGTCTTATTGGAAAATCAAATAAGACTGAAGGACCAACAGAAAAAAAAATTTTTTTCAACCCCCATATAAGTTATGACTTACAATTTGAAATTTCTTAGAGGTAAGGAGATAAAGAAGAAGCAAGGAGGAAGAAAAAGAGTATTCAGTGAGGTAAGGGTGTCTTATTGGAAAATCAATGAAGACTGAAGGACCAACAGAAAAAAAAATTTTTTTCAACCCCCATATAAGTTATGACTTACAATTTGAAATTTCTTAGAGGTAAGGAGATAAAGAAGAAGCAAGGAGGAAGAAAAAGAGTATTCAGTGAGGTAAGGGAACACAAAGAGAGTGGTATCCCAAAGCCAAGTGAAAAAAGTATCTCTAGAAGGGAGCTGTTTGGGCCAGCCAATGGTATGGTGGCTAAGGCAGCTGATCTCACATGGCTGAGTGAATGACTCAAGTTCTGGACCTAGTGGCTTGAAAAACACCCTGGGGAGCCAGCAGATGGCATGGTGGTTGAGGTGCTGGGTTCCCACATGGCTGATCACGGTTTGACCTGGCAGCTTGAAAAGCACAATAAATAAATAGATAAATGAATATTTTTTAAACACACACACACCAGGCATGTGCACGTGTGGGCCCAAATCCTGAGAGGAGACTAGAGAAGAGATTGCAGTGTGGTCATCCACCCTTGGATGGGTACTTTCTCACTTTCTCTGTCTCTCTCTGGTGAGTGCACATGCCTTTTAGCAAACTTAAAAAAAAAAAAAAGGGAGTTATTCCCTGACTTGTTCACTGAATCAGATGCTGCCAAGAGGTGGTTGAAGATGAGGACCAGCAGGGATGACTCATGGATCTAAAAATGAGAGAATCACTAGTAACCTTGACGAGAACAGTTTTGGTGAAGTTTATTTTCCAGATGTTCTACAATGCACCTTTAATATCAGAAAAATAATATAAACACATATTTTATCCCAATTAGAAAAAAATTTAACTTGTGCCCTTAAAAAAATCTTACATTTTTTTGGACATTTTTTGTGTGTGGAATACATGGTTCCTTAATGGTGTTAGGAAGTAAAATGTTACTATCCTTAAAGCTAAAAGTCATGTAAACTTTTTTATTTTTTCTATTTATTTGTCTCCAAAAGTTTTAAGAACTATGTGGTCCCATTACTCCTCTCTAATGAAATTTCTTTCTCTTTGCCAGAATTCAGACTATGTTTTACGCAATATGATGGTTACAGGCCAGCTGGGCCTTACAGAAATTCACACAAATCCCCCTACCATCTTCAGGAAGGCATCCATCTTCAGGTATGAGACATGTCTGTTTTATTTGGCAGCCAGAGCACATACCCCTGGTGTGAGAGTAGATCTGAAAAATCAGCTTCTACCTCTTATTAACACCCATTGACTGTTATTCTAATTAGTTTTTAAAAATAATTATTTATTTAATTTTATTTATTATTATCATTATTAAGCTTGCTATCGGGCTTGCACACTCACTAGAGAGAAACAGAGAGAGAGGGGGGAAGTGAGAAAGCAAGCCACCAGGTCCTGGACTTGAACCTTGGTTTGACCATGTGGGACTCCAACACCTTAACCACCATGCCACCTGCTGTTCCTCTAATTAGTTTTTAAAGAAAAATTCCTATAGAATACTGTCTGCATAGGACATACTATTTCCTTTTCCCCCACGTTCTTTTCAAAACAGTTTTCATTAGTATTTATTAAAAACATATGTTTTAAAGGATGATATTATTTTATTTTCTAGTAAACATGGAATTCAACAAAAACCCACCATAATTATGAGTACTATATCCACATTACTTATCAGAGTTCATCTGTTAATGTTAGTTAGCCTATGAATGTGTATGTTTTATTTAAAGAAGACAGGCAGGTGCTAGCAGGTGGCATGGTGGTTGAGGGCACTGGGCTCCCACATGGCCAACTGTGGTTCAAATCCCAGACCTGGTGGCTTGCTTTCTCATTTTTCCTTCTCTCTCTCACTCTGTCAGTCTTTGATCAAATTTAAATAAGTAAGTAAAATTAAATAAAATAATTCTTAAAGAAAGAAAGACAGGCAAAGGCGGGAGAAAGCAAATAAGGTTGTCTTTTTCTTTTTTTTTTTTTTTTGATTTTGCTGAGGGTGCATGTGCTCACCAGAGAGAGAGAGAAGAAAGTGAGAAAGCATTCCCCCATGGGAATGCTCAAGCTGTAATCCCTTCTCCTCCATCTCTCCTTCCGGTTGGGATTTTGGGCACAAGCGTGCTTCTCAAGCCTAGGTCCAGGAGTCAAGCTGTGCAGTCAGCTGTGTAGGATCTAGCCACCTTCACCACCACACCACCGACTGGCCTAAGAATTATCTTTAATAACTACCCTGTTCTAGATTACTTAGAATGCCCATCACCCATGGAATGCAAGGTATACTGGTAAACAGTGGACAGATGGAAAACAGCTAGATCCTAACTGAAAACACATCTATTGCAAGATAGATCTTAACTGAAAACACAGTCATTGCAATGAACCTGACTGCTTCCTTGGGGGTCAGTGTGGTTATGTAAGTGGTGATCCTCTCTCTGACTAGCAGGTTAATCTGACATGTAAGTATGTATCTTAATTTTAGTTTAGCCTCATGCCATACTATTTATTCAGTTTCAAGTTTCTTTCTCGTTAGTTATTCTTTGTCCTGGTCAAGAGTTCTGCAGGAGTCCTTATAACACCAAGACTCATATTACTGGATTCCTGTTTATAATTTAGAGCAGATGCCTTTGGAAGAACTCTGTTAACCAACCAGCTTTGTCATTACTCCTGAACATTTTAGTTTAAGGCCTCATGATATGGTTATCATAAAGACATGAAGTGGTGGCACCGCAATGGCAGAATGAGACCAGCAGAAGGAGTAATCCTCCCTGTGGCAGCGGGATTGATATTATGAATTGCAAGTGTGTTTTTGAGGTCATGCAAAGCACCAACATTTTTACAAATATCTCGAAGGAATGGCATCTCAATACTAACGTAAATGGGGAAAGTGAGAAAGACATATTAAGGGGTACGTCTGTGCTTCACTAAAGAAAGAAGCAGCCACCCCATTTCCACACAAGCCTCCACAAAGGTCTCTATAGATGCCGTGCCCAGTTCCCCAACATGTCTTCTCTCACTTGCTATAGGTGCTGGCGCAGGTGAGGGCTCACATCAGAACTTTCTTATGTTTGTAAGAAAGAAAGAGAGAGAGGGCCAGCAGGTGGTGTGGTGGTTAAGGCACCTGGACTCCCACATGACTGACCATGGTTTAAGTCCTGAGCCTGGCAGCTTGCTTTCTCACTTTCCTGTTCTCTCTCACTGTCTCTCCCTGGTCAACTTCAAAAAAAATAAAATAAAATAATGACAATGAATAAAAATTTTAAAAGAAAGAGATAGAGTCACCCCTGACAGGCCCCACCATGCCAGAGACCCCTGTCCCCAACATTGTCTAGCCAGTCCAGTATGCCAGGGGGTGTGCCTGGTGTCACACTGTAACTTTTTCTGCAAGAGTGTCCTTGGAGATTGGAGTCCCTCACCAGAAGGTGGCTAAGAGTTATGTAAATATTCTCCCACCCAAAAGCCTAGAGCTGCTTAGAATCAATGATGATTGTTGCTAGAATAAAAAGACCCCTCCTTTGCCTCACGGTGGGACAGATTCTTTGGCATAATTTACCTTCCACCATTCCCCTTGGGGTCAAGCTGAGGCTAGACTTCATCTGATTTTTTTTTTCTAGCTTCTCCCCCTTCCCTTCCTGTCTTCCTTTCTCCCTAGAGCATATCTTTAATAAGTCACGTACATAAGCATCCCTGTCTCAAGCTCTGCTTCTAGGGCTCTGACACACTCTTTACTCCTTCTGGCATTCAACCAAGGTGTACTGGACAATAATTAAACCACACCACGACAAAAATATGAACTCCTTCAGATAAACATAAAGACAGTGAAGCAGAGTACCGTGATCGGGAGGTTGGGGAAGTAGAGGAAGGTGAGGGACAGAAACGTGAAGTCGGGGGTGGTGCATTCTGACAGATAGAAACACAGCAAGGGCTGAAATGGTGGGAGTGCAATAGGCACAAGAGGATGATTCAGTGTTTGGGTGAAATGTTGTGAACAGGCTGATGTTTAATATCCTGTGCTTATTTGGTTTCAGAAATTTTCTCTTTAAATGTATAGATAGTTCAGAGGTTGTTTTGGCCTCCGCCTATGGCGAAACCCACATAGTAATTCCACTGCGAGAGAGAACAGGAGAGGCTCTGGGAGTCCTCGATTTTAACATTGGCCGGAGCAGGATGTTGTTTTATCAAGAATATAAAGATCTACAGAAAATGATGAAGATGATCCAAGCTGCCTGCTATGAAATACTGGGAGAAGCTTCTGGAGAGATAAAGAAAAAATATATCTTAGGTATGTGACTATGGCGACTTCCGGATTCACGGGTGTCGTAGATTTGGGGGAAATCACGGACAGCACAATGAAAGATGCGTTTTCTAAAGTGAATAGTTGCGACGCACAGATCTTTCTGTGTGAAAAGAATCCCCTTGTGCGATCTGGGGCTGATGACTGTGGTCTGTGCATTAACGCGAAGGCATGGAATCACATTCTCGTGGTTAGAGTCATATCATTATAAAACTGGAAGGACTTAAAAAGGCAAGCTAGAACTAGTCTTTATTCAGTGTCCCATCTTGCCTCAAGTACTTTAAACATGTCATTTCATCTCATCCTTACCATACCCCTGTGAGGTGAACAGTGGTGTCCCATCTTACAGGTGAGGACAGGGAGGTTCAGAGAAAATGAACACTCTGCTCCGTTGCACAGTTAGCAAACTGGTGAAAGCTGGGGCTAAACCCAAGTGCGGGTGCTCTCCCACAGCATCAACTTGTCAGGACACCTTCATTTTACAGAGGAAGAACTACAGCCCCCAAAGTAAAGTAGGTTATCCAAGATCCAATAGCAAGCCTGAGGCAGAAACAAAAAAGGCCCCAGTTCTTGTCATTCTGTATCCACTAGGCTATTCTTAGCTCCATACCAGCTTAGAGGCAGGGAGGGGAGAAAGCACCTTTAGCTGGCTAGAATGAAGTGAATAGAATTTAGAGTAACACTGTGTAGGATTAAGCTGAAAGACTTCCAGCCATTTCCTAGAGTAGGTTAAGGGAAAAAGAAGGGCCAGTAGGTGGCCTAGTGGTTTAAAGAGCTGGATTCCCACATGGTTGACCACAGTTCAAGTCCCAGATCTGGTGACATGAAAAATGCTAACAGATAAATGAGTAAATAAATAAATAAATGTAAAAAATAAATAAAATGAAGAAAACCCATGCCTTTTGAGTGTTCAGTATGTGTACAGTGTGAAATTAAGCACTTTTGCATATACTGCCTCATTTAATTCCCACAGTTTACCAGAGAAGTAGGGATTAGCCCCATTCTCACAGAAGAGGAAAAGCATATTCAGAGAGATGGTAGAATTGGTCAGGGGGAGGGTATGTATTCAAAGTAAGGTCTAACTCTAAAACCCAAGTTTCTGCCTTTTCTCAGAGCCTCTTCCTATGCGCTTCACCAAGCGTAATTCCATTTCTCTCTTGATTTCATGCGAGAGAAACCGAGATTGTTTAAAGCCATAGGATAGGGTCTTTCTTTTCCTGGGGGAAAGAAAAAGGATTCACTATAAAATGGTCAGAATCGTATGAAAAAGTAATTTATGTGCCAGGAAGGCAATGTGAGATGTCCTTCTGTTATTCCAGAGATTGAAAAGGTCGGGGAAGTCCAGCGGGCAGGAGTGCTCTTCTTCCGAGTCATGCTGCAGGAGTTGCAGGAAAGCCTCCAGCTCCTCAATTCCATGGACTTTGTGTCGCTGTTGCTCCTTGACCACACCCCTGTAGTGGACCCAAACACTCCTCGAGACAGCAAGTTCCAGGAGTTGGACGCCAATGTAAACTTGGTGCAGGACGTCATGATGGCAGTTATCTTGTTCTTTTATCCAGAGCTGGAATTTTCAAGTGAATATGGAAATTGGGATAAGTGTAAACTTGTAAGTTTTAGGGATTTTTTAAAAAAGAATTATTGATTTAATTTTATTTATCATTATCATGATTACTTTTTAAATTTGCTACAGGACACATGTGCTCACCAGAGAAAGACAAAGAGAGATAGGGCAAGTGAGAAACAAGCCACCCCGTCTGGGACTTGAACCACAGTTGGCCACGTGGGAGTCCAGCGTCTTAACCTCCATGCCACCTGCTTGGTCTCTGTAAGTTTTCTTTTAAAGCACTTTTTAAAAAAGTCTTATTCATTTCATTTTCATTTATTGTTATTATTTAATTTGACCAGAGACAGACAGACAGAGAGAGAAAGAAAGTGAGAAAGTAAAGCACCAAGTCCAGGTTTGAAACCGCTGTCGGTCATGTGGGATTCCAGCACCCCAACCACCACGCCACCTGCCAACCCCCTACCGCACTCTTTTTATTGAAGAGTAACCCCCACACAGTTAGGTGCACAGTTCTTAACTGCACAAATTGTTAAGTGCACAAATGCAAGAATTTTCACACAATAAACACATCCATCTAACCAGCATGTATCAAGAAACAGAACATGGGGAACCAGCAGTTAGCATAATGGCTATGTCGCGGGACTCCCACGTAGTCGACCGCGGGTCGCATCCCAGACCCGGTGGCTTAAAACTCACGCTGGGCATGTGTGCGGGCGTGCCCAAGATCCCGAGAGGAGAATGGAGGAGAAGGGATTGTGGCGTGACCATCCCTCCTGGGGGGTGATTTCTCGCTTTCTGTCTCTATGTCTCTCTCTGTCTGGCGAGCGCACGCGCCCTATAGCAGTAAAAAAGAAAAAAACCTCTCCAAAAAAAAAAAGAAAGAAAGAAACAGAACATTCGCGGCATCCCAAAAGCCCTCCTGTATGCCTTTTCCCATCACCCTACCACCCCACAAACACACCCCAAGGGTAGCTATCTTGACTTCTAACATCATAGATGAGTTTTGCTTGTTTTAACTTTATATAAATGGAATTATGTAAACGACTGAGCTAGGCGCCGTATTTCCACTTGCTGAAATGTCTAACTTGACTTTTGGTCTTTTTTCACAGTATGTTAATAAATATTTAGTCGAGAATATTTGTACTTTTGATCCAACTGCTAGCAATGTGGCAGTTAATTTACAGCTCATTGATGAACACATCAAAGGTAAATTCCCACTTAATTACAGTCTAAATCTATACCAACAGCAGTAAAACACAGTTGCAATTAAGAGATTTTTAATTAATGGATAGTTATGATTATAAGTCTTCTAAAAGGAGTGGCGCTGTCTGTAATTGATTGCATTCCCCAAATTCCCTGTCTTTGCCATACATATAAGAATTTAAAAGGACATCTATCTCTTACTTATTGACTATTTGTACATTATTCATGTAATCATTAATTGGGAAAATGGCTCTGCAGAAACTGTTTCTATACTTGTCCCTCTCCTCCCTCATCCCCTCTCCTGTAGACTCCAGACCAAGTCAGAAGGGTTTATGGATTTCTGTGATACATATGTTAAAAACATTTTTATTATTGTTAAGCTAGCCTAACCCTCAGATGTAGCCTACCTATTAGGTCATCGGGAAAGTCATGACATAATTTTTCTATGCAAAAATGCATCATAACTTTCCCGAGAACCCAGCGGTTGCCACTATTCGTTTGGGGTGGATTTAGCTCCCACCATGAGCTCCCACCGCTCTCCTCATGTGTGATCAGCTTGTCTAACTGGTATGCTCCCTGAGTCCTACACTTCAGTCAGCCTGCCAGCTCCTTGACCCACAGCCAGACCTCACTCCAGGGTCTCTTGTGCCCTCACAGAGTGATGTCCTCTTTCTTGGGTGAGGACTCAGGCACTACTGGTGTCCAGTCCGGTCCCTCGGTCAGATGAGAACCGAGGACGAGAAGGCCCATCCACTCTGCCTTGCAGGTCTGCACAGGAATCGGCTCTCAGCTCTTACTAGGTCTGTTCCAAGCCATAGGAGAGGCCAAAGTTCTCTTCTGTGGCATGGTTTCAAACCTTACAGGACTCTCTTTGGGCTCTACCTCCAATTTTCCTGTAAGAACTCCTGTTGTCATACAGAGCACCTTTGTTTCAGAATACATGCAACACTTCTATTTCTCTGCTGGTTCCCACCTTGAACTATCCTAGCTGATTGCAGAACTATCCTAGCTGATTGCGAAACTATCTTTTCCAAGCCTTAACCACCAAGGCTCCTGGCCCCTTTCTGCTTTCCAACAGTGCCCTCAGGTGGCAAGAATTTTAACTGCAGCCAACAGAGGAGGACTCCACCGGAAGCCAATATCCCACAGGATCCCTCATCACTGCTACCAAGCCCTTGTCATAATGGCATCCACAGCAATCAAGGAAGTTTGTAGGCTGTCCAAATACCAACCCTCTCTCCCTCATATGCAATCATATCAGGAAATTCTAAGTCCATGTGGAGAAAGAGAGAAGAATTCTTTGCAGAGCCTGTTGGTGTCTTGAGGAAAGGAGTTTCTTGGCAGGACAGTCTGTTGTTCAAAGTTTACCTGGTCCTGGCCTTTTAGCAACTTTTTGGTTGTTGTTTTTAATTTGCCAGAAGATGTATGTTCTCGCTAGAAAGAGGCAAAGAGAGAGGGAAAGTGAAAAAACACCCCCATGGCGGATGGTCACACTGCAATCCCTTCTCCATTGCACACTCCTTCCGGGATTTGGGGCATGCATGCACACACGTGCGCCCCACATGTCTTCCAAATCACCAGGTCTGGGACTGAATTTGGCTGTGTGGGATCCAGCCACCTCATCCACCACTACCAGCTGGCCCTTTTAGCAGCTTTAAAGAAGGTCCCTACAGTCAACTGCAGTGACATAGAGGTAGTACAGTGTTCCATGACACTGAAGCCAAAAGAGAAGTCCTGGGTTCGTGTCCTGATTTCTCCTTGTACACACTGGGCCTGTCTGTGCGTGCTCATGACCTTGACTGGCTGAGGCTAGGGGTGGAACCTAGAATGAAGACTCTGTAAGGGATGCCTCTCTTTCTAAAGAAAGAAAGAAAGAAATTTTTAAAAAATTAAATTAAGACGCCTATTCAATAACCTCCCAACCCCGCCCCCCACTCAGCATGAAATGGCACCAACAATATCTGAAGGTTCTGTCAGGGATCAGGAGGACTGAGAGACTACGTGGTATAGCTCCTAACCCACTGAACCTTCCAGACTAATGATTGGAGCAGAAGGGCAGAATTCAATTTGATGACATGCTCGTGTTTTCTTAGGGCTTCTGCTGCCGACTTTTACCCCTAGTTCGTTCTAGTTCGAGTAATGGATATGTTATGTTCTGGTGGAACTTTAGAGAGCCGTGTCCTGTCTTAGATTGAGGCAGTCATCTGTGAAGGAGCACCAGGCCACTTTGTTTAACAATATTGATTCCTCCAGGCTGTCCCGTTGCACATGAATGCTGCCGACACACTTCTCTGGGGGCCTGTCGCTCCAGTGGTAACTCCTAGACGGCTATGCATGCAACAGCACGTCGACATCTGCCTATGGTGCTCCTCGTAGTTGGGCTCTTCTGTGTGGAGACCTGTGCCTTCTCGAGGATCTCCTCCCCACTCCACTCTACTTTGGACCCATACTGCCGGCCTCATCTGGTCTCTCTTCTCTCTTTTACAAGCTCTTATTTATTCCTTTCTTCTGAGAAATGGACAGAGAGAGCGACATCCCCAGCAGAGTCTCTATACCACAATCCTCCCCCAGTGCCAGCCCGCTCAGACCACAGGCATCATAGACTAAAGACTGTGTTAGAGATGCCCCTCTAAGAGTACATAGTTTGCTCAGGGAGGTCCCAAGATGAGAACCCAGGACCAAATAACTCGGAACTGAAAATGGAAGGGGTGTACATGGATGAAATGTGAATCAAGCATCCAGGCCTCAGGTCTCTACCCAACTCCAAGGTCGCCTGTTATACTCTCTTCCTAGACATTGTACGAGTGAGTACTTGTCTACTATCTTAACTAAAAGGGCCCTTTAAGAAGTTCTTACCAGGACAAAGGGACTCTGTTCTAAAGCTGAACTGATGTTTCTTCCTCTACAGCCTGAAATCCATTAGCGCCTTGTAAATGGGACTCTGCTAAACCCAGGTCGAGCAATTTCCAAAAACGGTCCACCACCCAAGACTACCGGGTCCAAAAAGAGAGCGGACATCTGTAATTGAACCCAAGCCGATGTTAGCATACAGAGTCCAAATCAGTAGGACGGAGCAGCATTCTTGGTACCTTGGTGTCCGTATCACACTGACCCATTTAAAAGAACCAGGCACTTCTTCAGAACCACAGACTCAGTTCAGTGTTGTATCCCTATTTTTAATTCCTTGGTGGTTGGTAGAAAGTGTCCTGTCTGATCTTTTGCTGTGCAGTGGGAGCAAAGGAGTCTTGTCTTACTTTTATAATGGAGGAGGGTTGAGAAGCACCTGCCCAAGCCACCAGAGGTGGCAGTAGAAATGAATAAACATCTCCCAGGGAAGATGATTCCTGAGAATAAGAGTTAATCAGCATTGGGGCCAGCAGATGGCATGGTGGTTA